TACCAACTGTACAGTCCACAGCGAATCTCTTTGTTCAGTAAGATTTTGCTTTGCTTCAGGAGCAGTATTATGGACTGGGATAACTTTATAGGGAAATACAGAGCATAAAACTTCAGCACTTATCTCCTAGCAGAATCACTGCTCTTCCAGGTAATTCCCTTTAGCTACCCAGGTAACATTAATTAATTCTAATATATAAAAATCAGAAAGGAGAGAAAAATAGAACAGTATTAACTAAAGCCTTGGGCTGCAAGGAGGGGGCATTATTTAGTGAAATGATACATAGTTATCAATAAGATAGGTGACATCACATTGTACTTAATAATGTAGACATGATGCCACTAGAAGTGTGTACCATTTACTTCAAAGTTCTCTGCTGTGAGGGCTTCAATGGGACCCACAGTCAATGAGATGAGTGAGACAGAGAAGCACATTGTTGACTTCTGTCCTGACTAATCAGAGTCAGCAGGTAATGCTGCATCTTTCTAGCTCACCAAGAGAATCACAAAGTAGTTCTGTCTTTCTTTTTTTTGGGGGACCTTTGTTCTTAGGTCCTGGGGACTTCCATCCAGTCAGATACCAAAGACAGAAACTCAAAGATTACTCTAGCTTTTTTCCCAAGGACACAAATATTCAATACAACAAGCCCCCATTTAATTTACTAGTGTCACTTTGCTTTTACTCAGGTTCTTAGAAATTTTCCAGGTCTCTAATCTCACCATTCATCTTTCATTAATCATGCCTCACCAAGTCTAGATCCTGCAGTCAGAGTCAGTATACAATACTGAATCTGGTAGTCACCTCACTACAAATATTAACTACACCCATCTGTTTTGGGATAATGGTCAAAAGCATTTTTTTTTAGTAGACATGACCCTCTGTCCCTTGGATCTCACTATTATTTCATTTCTGTTTTCTACTAGACTATCCAGTCCTTTCAGCCCAGATATAGTGTGTTCTTCTATTCCCAGGAAGCATGCAGGTCTCACCACAGGGAGTCACCAGGGGATCTATTCAAGCCTGAAATCCTTCATTTTAAAAAGAACTCCATGTTACAAGGAGACTATGTAGCCTCAAGGTCACAGCTGGTTAGAAAGACAATGGAAATTGGACACAGTGGTTAGACTTACCTTTCCCAAATATAATTTAATATATATGTTTAAAAGATTTAAGTCAGATGTGATGTTGCATGTCTTTCATCCCATCGCTAGGGAGGGAGGCTGAGGCAGGTAGATCTCTGTGATTTTGAGGCAAGCCTGGGTGACATAGTGAATTCCAGCTAAAGTCTCTCAAAAAGTAAGAGAGAAAGACAGAGATTTATCTTGTGTGTGTGTGTGTGTGTGTGTGTGTGTGTGTGTGTGTGTGTGTGTGTGTGTATGTATGTGATATCTATGGGTGCTCATAGATGCCAAAAGAAGGCATTGGATCCCCAGGGTCTGGAGTTGGAAGCAGTTGTGAGTCTCCCAATAAGATTATTAGGAACCAAACTCTGGCCCTTTAGAATAGCAGCAAGTGCTCTTCACCACTGATCCCTCCCTTTATCCTATTGTTGACATTGCTCAGTCAAATCATAGCATTGTTCAATATAAAGTATGAAAGTCTTTAGAGTCACACTGATCAGATGCTCTTGATTAACAAATTGACATAAATGTATTTATTCAAAACATCTTACATAGCTCTTCCTTTCACTCCAATGCAACCCATTTTCCAGAAGCCTTCCCTTCAAAAAGTCTGCCAAGACTTCACTTCTAAGAAAACTTTTTGCCCTAAAAATAATCTTCAAACTCAACACAAGTTACCAAAATAAAATCTCCTAAATAAAACAATGGCAGAGACAGACATGACAATGAATATGGAGTATGCTAAGAACATTCTGTCACTGAAACCAAATTCACTTTTTTTGTGTGTGATTAATGGTAGGATGAAGTCTTGAACCACATAAGAATGAAGCAAACTACAGCAGAGGAGAAGTCGCCTGGAAAGGGTCCCATCTGAAAAGGCATCCATTTCAAAGCAGGCTCTGTCTTTTGGCTATCATCACCCTGTGCCTGTCCAGACATTCATTTCCAAGTGCTATTTCCAAATGCAGCTCCAAATGCAGAGTGAGAGTCAGTTGGCATGTTCAAAATTTGCTTTGGGGTGGACAGAACAAACAATGAATTGTTTTCAGGAGGAATGATAAGTGCATTCCAACACTTGCTGAGTTTAATTCATGTGTCAGGCCTGTCTTCTCCACCTGATTCCTTAGCACCCCATTTCTACCAGGCCATGAGGAATTAAACAGAAATTATACATGTAGCCATTTCTGACTATCCATATGGTACTGAAGTTAGCCAACAAACAAACAAACAAACAAATAAACAAACAAACAAATAAAGCACTCCATATGCTTTCATTGGAAAGAATGAGAAGAGAAATCAGCTTGAACCCAGGCTGCAGAATCGGTGAGTGATCTGCATTTAACTAACTCTAATCAGGCCATCATGCCCCACACTGCATTTACTGACAAGTCTCAGGGCATCAGAGAGGGCAAAGTACATCAGGGCAGTGGGAAGAGAAACAAAATTACCTGTTGAATGGGAGAATTGGCTTTGTTAGTTAAGGGTGTCAATAACTCTGGATGTTCAGAAAGCCCATCCATCAAATTAACATGATGGTGTGGGGGGGGCAGGTGGAGTCTGAGGCAAAAGGATGACAGAGAGTAGAAAGCACGCAAAGGACTGCAAGAAAAACCATGACTGAATATTTAATGTTTAGCCTGAGACAAGAAGAACATTTACCAAAGATGCAAATTATTACTCACGAGCTTGCAGTTTTTACATAGAAGATAAAAGCAGTGGAAGAATGCATAGGTACCAAACAAAGCAGAAATGGGGCAACACTAATCCAGAGGGGAAACCCACACCATTGTGGTCATACGGGTGATACGTTTGCTCATATTCAAAAGCAGCTGGATAGTCCAGTGGTAAGCACAGCTGCCTTCCAAAAGAAGTTGGTATTCTGCCTCAATGTTGCCGAAAGGACTTGGCATCACTTTATTTTCCTTGTAAGATTTTGAAATGTGCTTACTATCTGAAGTCTTGTGGGGTGTCTATACTCTCAAATGTACAGATGTCACTTAAAAAGAAAGTCATCTAATAAAATGCATCCCCTCCTTCAGACACTGCAGTCAGTGAAAGGAAGCTCACTAATGCCCTTTATTAGATGAAGTGTTATCAAGCACCACATTAATAAATGGAATAAATGGGAGGGTGGGGTGGGGTGGAAATGCAAACATTAGTCTCCTGGCTGTGGTGTGCATGTGTGCGTGTGCATGTTCAATTTTAAAAAATGACAGAGTTCTTCTAAAAATAAGTAATCTATCTCAAATATAAACTTCTCTCCTGGCTTTGTGATGAGTATATTAATAACAGTTTCTATTTTAAAAATGAACACTAATGAATAATACATTGAGTATTCATTAATAATATATACATATATCTGTTAAGACGAGTTAAAAAGCATCACTTTGGGTTTAAGCCAGTGATTGGCATTAACTGAAAAGGTAGTTATTATTGCACATGGGACCACAGAACTTCACTTTCTCAGTCAGAGTTAATTTGCCAAAACATTCTTTTTCCAGGTCTTGATTGACTACTAAATCTGGAGGGAAATTCACATCCATTTGTTAATTCTCTGGCCTCATTCTTTTTCATGCCCTATTACACAAGTTGCTCCAATACAGCAAAAGCATGCATAAGTGTAGAAATCTCTCCCACTCCCTATGCCCCCAAATACTCTTCCTTCCAAATATTCCTTGGGAAGCAAGTCATTGCCATGACAACCATAAGATGAGGTTTGAAGGGCACTTGGGGGCACACTTTGTGAAAGTTAATACCAGTTTGTGTTTTATAGGGTCAGGGAAACTGAGACAATGGGTCCTATTTGGCAATGAGGCACCACTTAGCTCTTTAGCATTATCTGTCCACATCAAACCTAACCGGAAAGCCACCTTTAAAAAGAGTCAGAGTGATTTATTCAGGGCTGATCCGTCATTCCTCCATTATAGCAAACTCCCTCTATGCTCGCTAGTAATTAAATTAAAAGATCATATATAGCAGGAAAAAGAGAATTAAGGATTTGCCTTATCTGACAAACTTTACTATGAAACATTCAGCTGGGCACACCCCACCCCACCCCAAAGGGTTAGCACGTTTTCTTTTCTAAGCAATAGTTTCCCTCTGCGTCCTCACACTTTGTGTCCTTCCCTGTCAGGCAGGTGATGAAGGTAGATTCCCGAGGACTTGTGAGGACTTTTTCGGTGTCTTTAATACATTTGCTTCCAGAAACAGGAACACTGTGGACACAACTAGCAACTGCAGCTCAGGTGTAGTAAGAATCTTTTGTGTAACTCGGAGCTGGAGAGGCTTCCTTCAATGTATGCGAAACAATACTTTCTCACACGGACTCCAGTCCAAAAACCAAGAGACAGAAATCATCATGCCTTTAAAAAGTCACTATGTGATAGGGGTCATTCTTTCTTTGTCTATACCTGACTGACCACCTAGTCGGGGAGCTTTTAAAATAAGGAGGAGAATCCTTTGTTCTCTCAGGTTCTATTCAAGGGAAAGTGGGTCGAAGGGCTTCCCCAGGGAAAGAAAATGAGCTCTCCAGCCAAATGCAGAAGAAGAAGAGATTTCATGCCCACTATTATTCTCATCCTCCCAAAGAAGGGAATTAATTGTTTGGCAGACTAATGGTTAAGAAAGGTGGGGGTGCACACAGGTAGCCCCATTCCTGAGACCATATCTAATTCCCTAGTGTAGCTCAGGCCATCCTCCAGGCAGGGTGGGGGTGGGGGTGGGGTAGGGGTGTTGGGAACTCTCTCCAGCCATGGGTAACACAGCCAGAACTGCATGCATTCACACGCCCCAAAACTGGCGTCCCAGCCCAAGTGCGAAGTTGGGCGTTTAGACCTGAAAAGCATAGTAAGAGCCATTCAAAGCAGCAAGTTACAGTACCTTGAGAAGTCTGACAGATGGGAGAAAGGCTGCGTGGCATAGCTTCCGGATGGTCCAATTTAGGGGTCGAGAAGCATCAGTCTGATTCATGACCCCTTCCAAATTCCACCAGGAAGACAAGAGACTGCAAATCTGGGCAATGCCTAGAAAATAAACGGCCCCCCACGGCCCTGGCATCCCATGGTCATCTCCACACCTGCAAATTCCATTAGGGCAGAGGCTTCCTGGAACTTGGGAGTCTAGTCAAGTGGCGTTTCCTGAGCCCCTGAACCTTCTTAAGAAAGCCACCTCCCCTCTCCCTGCAGCCGTGCTCATGCATACCAAATGTGGCCGAATGGAGGCACACTGCCTGCTGCTTCGGGGAGGGGATGCTTGATTTCGAAGGAGAGGGACAGCCTGCACAAAACAGCCTGTGGTCGGAGTCAGAGCAGCCTGCTCCAGAATGCGCGCTCCCTCTCCCGCTCTCCTCCCAGCAAACGCAGGTCAGGCGTTGGGGGGGAACCCGGGCCATTTGCTTTGCTCTCTTGTTTTGAGGGGGAGCCAGGAGGAGAGAAAAAAGAAACAAAAATGAAGCCAGAAGGAGAACTTGTACTTTCTTGCACAAAGCATCTTTGAGGGGCTGGAAACTGGCGCAGGGGGAGGGGCTAGGACATTGGGAGGGAGAAGGGATGCCTCTGAATGATAAGATAAATGCTTCCTTTTTGATTTGTGTGACATAATAAATTGAGAGCTATCGTAACATAGATCTATAGTAAAAAGAGATCCCTGCTGTGTTCCGGGGTCTTTTATTAACGGCGATTGACAGTCTTCACCCTGATATAAGCACCATATAGATGATAGATGGGTAGAGGCTGAGTCAAACTCGCACATACACACGCTGGGAACAAGGAGTTATTCCTGTCGTAGAAAGCTGTGCAAGAGAACGCATTTGTGGCTTACCTTTTTAGCAATAGTAGTTTCTAAATTGGGGGATATTCCCACAAGACAAGCCTTCTTTTGCAATGAAGTTTAACCCTTAAAGTGCCACATAGAGCACTGTCCACAAAAGATGGTTTCCTCGAGTGCGTATTTCCCCTCTTCCCAGTAATTTTCGAAGGAGGCTTTAAGAAAGAGTGTAGCTGCATTGGGGTATATAATCTGTAAAGCTCCCATGGTGAAAGAGAATACAAGAGAACTTTTCTATTTAAAGGAAGACATTGGCCAGTTTCACTTAGAGAATGGGGAGCTCAGGGGGGCTGAGAGGGGCGATCATGTCACACCCCTCACCTGGACTACCCGCTTCCCCCAAGGCATTAAACTTCAGTGGTAGTACTGACCAAGGACTCTGCCCAGGAGATCCCCATGACACTCTTCCCCTTCAAGTGTTGCCAGGGTATTTAAAACTTCCCACCTTATTTCCCTCCAAGTGACTGTAGAGGTTTTCCATTTTTAATTAACCAGAAGAAATGGGTGGACCCCCCACTCCCCGCCCCCTCACTCCCATGACTACTATGCATTCTGGGACAAAATTCAGAGGGGTTAGAGCAGATGTGATCGTGATACAAGGGTGCGTTTTAGGACCAAGAACAAAGAATGTAGCAAGCACCTGACACCTGCACTATTGCACCGTTTCCTAAAGTGCCCCAGAGTCAGGGATGCGGAGTATTGCAGAACCACTGACTGGAACATAAAAACCCATGCATCAGATTAATTGCTATTAAAGCAGTATCCATTTAACAGAACTCACACACGGCTCATTTTCTGTCACCCTCCTATTTCCACAATGGGGCGAAGGCTGTTTTCAAGAGCTGCCAAGCTAGGATGTATATATGCCAGGCATGGTGTTGGATATTTCACATCATGTAAACTCACACCAATGGCAGCCCTCCAGAGCAGATGCTTCCCTATCCCTATTTCACAGATTAAGCGAATAAAGTCCAGAGAAATTAGCCTGGATTAGAGTCATTTTACTGAGCTTCAAAGATACACGTTTTTGTTCTGTTTCTTTCATAATTTGAGACAACAACAATAAAACCTTTATTTTGGTGTTCTGGTCGTTAGTCTGATTCAAGAATTGCAATAAAAGATGGGATAAGGACTCAGTACGTCCCCCACACACTGCTGTGGCATGGCGCTGAGGTTTGCTTAACCTCCTAAATTCTAAAATCAGACTTCAGAGTTGACAATGAAATCCTGACCCTGGCCTTGGGCAATTTTCTCATCTCTTCAGTGCACTGGAGTCTTTTATCTCTGAAATGGAGGCAATCATACAGCTACATACCCAGGGTTCTTGTGAAACCACATGAGCTAGTACCCGTAGAGCTCTGAATCCATGGCTTGGCATCGCCCAAGCCCCTACTACCGTGATCCATCTTCTAAGCAGCATGGCCCTATTCTACATTAGGGACCTACTGACTTTTTTCATTAAAGATACTTTGTGCATATGTTTGCAATACCAGGTAATGAAACCAAGCAAGATGAATTAAACCTGGATGCTTTCTATGAGTTGTGAAGAGTTTAATAAATGAGGTAAAGCAGAAAACAAAAGACTGAAAAGTCAGTGGAACTTTCCTCAGCCTTTCCTTACAGGATGCTAGTCATCAGATTGCAAAACACCGCCTTCAGTGAGCCTGTCAGGGGCCAGCGTTTCTTGCCTGCTAAAGGCCCTTAAGTGGTTTCTTTGCAGTTGTGAGAAGTCAGCTCCAGGGAAAGGCAAGACCATTACAGTTGCCCACCCTTGCCCCTCACTGTCCCAAAGTGTTCTGAACACAGAAACGAAGGCATCCTTCCGAAACCGTAGTCTTTGATCCTCTTAGCTCCTTTAATTTTTAAGACTAACTTTGGTCAGAAGCATAGTGAGGGGTTGTGTGAAATGAGAAGTGGGAGATGTCACATCCTCTCCAGTGGTAATTAGAAGAATGAACACAGAACCTTCCGGGAGTAGATTTAAAGACTGCGCAGCAAAGGAGATGAAGATCAAAAGAGGCTTAAGGGGGCATCCTCCCCTCACTGGAGTCATTGGTGCCAAGACTGTTGGCTGCCAAATATCTAAAGAGTGGTTTTCAGGCCCCCCCTCCTCATTTAGAATAAGCGGTATTTTTCACATAGAATGTGTTCTCCCATGTTTTTAGACAGGACCCTAAGAGGAAAATCAGAGAAGAAGCAGCTTGGCCGAGGCAGTTAATGTCTCATACATCTAAAATGCTCATTTTTTTTTTTCCGAGACAGGGTTTCTCTGTGTAGTTTTGGTGCCTGTCCTGGGTATTGCTCAGACCAGGGTGATCTCAAACTCACAGAGATCTGCCTGCCTCTGCCTCCCAAGTGCTGGGATTAAAAGCGTGTGCCACCACTGCCAGGCTAAAATGCTCATTTTAAAGGTGATGACTGTGTGCATTTACAAATCTAAGTGATCAGATTCTCTTTTAATATTTCTAAAAGTAGCAAGTGTGGTGTTTTTTGCATTCTAAAGTGTGTCTTTTAACATATTTCCATTCTCTTTTATGCTATGAAAGCTTCTTTCCCACTGATCATCTTTTAGTTCAGTCTCAGGGCAGTTACTAAGTCATAACTATAGCTAGTCTATATTTATCCTTCAAGACCATGTTCTTCTTTGGGAAAGTCAAGACATTTTGGTAGAACATTGGATCATACTCAGTCTTCTAATATAGAAGGGCTAATTTGAAAACTTAAGGAACAAGGGAATGCAGAATGATGTCCAAACCCTTCTCATCAAGTGCTTTATACAAACCACACCTACTAGTTTGATTTCTATTGCTGTGAAAAGCATCATGGCCAAAAGCAACTTGGGAAGGAAAGGGTTTATTTGGTTTATAGGTTATAATCTTCATTCAGGGCAGCCAAGGTAGGAATTCAAGGCAGTAACCTGGAGTCAGGACCTGAAGCAGAGACCACAGGGGAATTCTGCTTATTGGCTTGCTCTGCATGGCTTGCTCAACCTGCTTTCTTACATAATTCCAAAACAGTGAACAGGGGATCATTAATCAAGAAAATGACTTACAGACACGCCCACAGGCCAATGTGATGGAGGCTATTCCCCAGTTGAGGTTCCCTATCCTCAGATGATCCCAGTTTGTGTTACGTTGACAAAAACTAACTAGCATACACACTGTAGTGGTTTGAATGAGAATGACCTCCATAGGCTCATATGTTTCAATACTTGGCCCCCATTTGGTTGAACTGTTTGGGAAAGATAAGGAGGTGTGTCCTTATTGGAAGAAGTATGTCACTGGGGTGAACTTTGAGGTTTCAAAAGCCTATGTCATTCTTACTTAGCTCTCTCTTTCTGCCTCCTGCTTGTGGACAAGATGTAAGCTCTTAGCTATTGCTCTAGTGCCATGCCTGTCTGCCATGCTAGTCATGGACTAACCATCTGAAACTCTAAGTCCCAATAAAGTCTTCTTGTATAAGTTCTCATGGTGTTTCTTCACAGCCACAGAACAGTAACTAAGACAGAAACTGTTGGTGCCAAGGAGGAACTCATGCTGGTTTCTGGAGGAATGTGGAAGACTTTGGGACTTGGGACTAGGAAAGATCATTATAGACCCCACTGATCTATAATACTGTTATTTATTATTTCTAAATATGTTGTTCTTCAAATAGATTAAATGATTTTTTTTTTCTTGTTACATGTGTGTTGTAAGCAGGGCTTAAGAGGCAATGTTAGTGGGAGGCTGGAAGACAATACACTCTTCTTCTATAAGTTGCCTTGGTCATGGTGTGTTTTCATAGAAACAGCAAAGTAAGAAGACAAACATCCAGACACAAATTGTTCCAAAGTAAGTTTGTATGTTTTGTTATTATGCCATTGAATTCTTTAGGTATTTGGACATTAATTGGATGTGTATTTCAGGAGCTTATTTTTGCATATGGTCTGCATAGGGCTGCTACTATTCTGGCATTCAGGAGAAGTATTAAACCCAGACAGTGGTAACTCTGTAGGTACCTTCTCCCACTTCAAAATTCTTTGGTAGTCTTAACATCTTATGACTGGCCTCAACTCATAGTTACCTCTTTTCTTTTTTAAAGGTATGTGTTTTTTAAATTTATGTGAGTGTGTGTGTGGGGGCGGGGTGTGCCCATAGATGCCATAAGACAACTGTAGAGCCCTTGGAGCTGTTGGTTGTGAGCTTAATGGGTTAATGGGTGCTGGGAACTTAATTCTGGTCCTCTGGAAGAGTTGGAAGAAGGCACTGTTAGCTGCTGAGCCATTTCTCCAGCCCCCAACTCATAGCTTTCTGCTGTCCTGCCAGCTCAAGACTTTTGTCAAAAGAGCATTTTTGTTGTGAACATTATAGTAATTTATATTTTCTGTCTGAAAAAACCATGTTTTTTTTTTTAATATTTCCTTTCTTTTTGACTGTTCTCAGAGCTATAAAAATTTTAGGACTTCTCTGATGTTTCTATAATATCCTTTAAAATATGAAATTTCATTATAGACCCCACTGATCTATAATACTGCTATTTATTATTTCTAAATATGTTGTTCTTCAAATAGATTAAATGATTTTTTTTCTTGTTAAAGTATTTTCCCCTTTGGGGTTCCTTTATGGATAATAGATTCTGAAATAGATTAAACTATATTAAAATGAATTACTCATTTTTTAACTAGCCTAAGCAGCATTTGTTTCATATAAAAACAAAAATATCTCAGAATGAGAATGATGATCTTTTCTCTAGTACCAGGTTGCTTCCCCTGCCTGTTCCCCATCCTCTGCAAAAATGCCTCCAGTCACGTGGGACAGGTGAGGTTTTGAGGCAGATCATTTCAAGATTGGGCAGCTTCAACTGCCAGGAAGTTCTTCCTAAGGCTGTGGTGAAAAGTACCTCAATGTGACTTCTTAAGTCAAGTTGTCTTTCCAAGACCAGTTTCCCCAGTGCCTTTCTGGACTGCACTCAAACCGACCTGTGAGGTCCTCCTTTTCTTCAATCCCTCTTCACACCATGGCATGCAGTTCTTAGCAGAACATCCTCTTCAGGGGCTGAATTCAACATTGTGTTGCAGGGGTATTTCAAATATAGTAGTGTTTTAATTCTCTGAAATCCTCTAAAATGCTTCTCACAAAGATCTTTTAGGGAGCTTGAAGGAAATTCAAAATAATTTAGCCTCTTTGGAAACTTTCATCAGTAAGAATGTGAAATGTTGACTTTAAGGAATAGCAGCTCCACACACATAAAACTGTTGTTCTATCTCTTGTACACATACAGAAAGAGAGGGGGTAGATGTGGGAGGGAGAGAGGGAGAGAGGGAGGGAGGGAGGGAAGGAGGGAGCAAGTGATTGAGGCAGTGAAAGACAGATAGACAGAGACAGAGAGAACCAATCTGAATTGATAAGTGTAGATTCCTCTTTTTAAAAATTTGGACCTGGCTTGTAAGGGAGGTAGGTTGTAGTGGACTAATGGGAACGCCACACCAAGAGTAGGAAAGCAGGCTTTACATGTCTCCATCTGATAGCTTTGAAGTTAGACTCAAGTTCTTCTGCTTTTTAATCACTACATAGACCTGAAGCAACTAAATTGCTATCAAAGCCTTGGTTTCTCACTGTAAAAACAGGGGCCACTCTACTGTCCATATTCATATCTTGGGAAAAAATGGAAGCAATTATCACAACACTAATATAATGAAAACCAAATATGACTGCAATTGTTATCTGCATTATTAATATGAGTTACCACCTTCAGTGGCTCTGCTGGTGCTTTATTCCAGTGGTAAGATCAAGGACTGGGTGCCCAATATCCTGGACTTATAACCCAGCTTTACCGTTTATAAGATGGTTTGGGAATGTTACTTAATCTTATGGCACTTTTGTGTCTTATCTGCAAACTGAGGATAACAATGCTACCCACGTTAAAAGAGTAGGTGCAGAGGCCACAGAAGAGGACCTCACCTGTTACCAAGGCTCAAAAATATTGGCAGTTTGGGATTAGCCTAGCTGAAGTCATAGGTGCTGCCCATCCCATTGCTACCACTCTAAGGAAGCAAAGTTAACATCACAGGAGGAAATTACAGTTAGATCATAAATGGGGCAGGTCCATGAGTGATCACAATGCATGCCAAAGAAGAATCAAATGAAAAAATATTTTAAAGCAAATAAAATTTAAAACATCGTCACCTCTGCCTCTCCCTTATTCATGTAGGAAGAGCCACTTCAGAGAACCAGAGGATAAAGACACACACCTGACTTTCCTGACAGCTTCCCTCTCTGCAACTGAAAGGCAGCCACGCATTTATGAATAAAATATGAAAGTAATATGTAAATATGTGTTACTTTGGGAAATTAAAAGGTATGTAAACAGCTTGTATCTCATTGAGATACAAAAACCACACATGCTAAAAGGAACATATATATCACACCCTCTTCTCCCAAGGCTCAAGGATCACTGCAGAAGAGTAGGTGGAAAGAGTACAAAGGAGTGAGGCAGTGGATGAGGACTTACTACATGGAAGCATTGTCTTTAAAATCTAGGGCAGCTGCATATATGACCTCACAGCAGCTGTGACAGCATGACAAGACCTGTGCATACCCAAGCCAGGCCAAATCCCAGCACAGAGAGGGGAGCTAGGCATCAAGTCCTACCCCTAGCAGAGGAGCTATTGGCAACTGGTAGCTGCTAGGAGAAGATGAGTCAGTCTTCTCTAACAGTAAGACCCTGGTTAAGTTAATCATAATCTAATAGAAGGTCACACAACCAAGAATATTTGGGCAACACAAATGGTCGTGATGGATTAAAAAAAGAAGACACAAAATTGAGTGGGTAGGAAAGCAGAGCTGATCTATGAAGAGCTACAGGAGGAAGGTAAATAAGATCAAAATACCTTGTATGAAATTTCCAAATAACTAATAAAATATTGTTCAAAAATCACACTCACACACATAAAGTGTACAGCAAATTTCAAAGGCCAGGAGCTAAAATACATCCTCATTTAGCTTTGAAATCCTATTACTTCCATTCACAATGGGGATGATTTTTTGCAATGATTCTAAAATTTTAATGAGTCCATGGAGCCTTGTTAAAAATATAAGAATTTGAGATGTTCGTTTTTAACTACTTCATAGTCACAGTTTCCTGATATTTGTGATGCTATTTCTTACTGCAGCTCTTTATTCTTAGCTTAGATATGTGCAACACAGGGGTGTACAAACAATTACACCTCTGTGAGTAGAATAGCTTAGACAAATTTGTTATGAAATTCATCAACCTTACCACAATGGTAATGAACTCATGAGTTAATACCTGTGAGGTAGGGAGACTTAAGCAGTCAATCTCCAATTCCTGCTTGAAGAAATTGTATCAGTTGATGAGAATCACAGAAATTCATTGCTAATAGTGCAGCTTAAGAAAGGTATTAACGAGAGGATACTCAAATATGCACACGTTCAAGTTCAAACTTTACAAGGTCCTCCAACTCTCACCAACCTGAGCTTGGAGCTTATCCCGGCAACACAATGTGTCTTGTGCCTCTTTAGCCTCTGATGCTGATGGCCAGCACTACATTAGAACATAAGGTCCGCTCACCTGGGAAACTGAGACATACTGTGATCTGGAAAATCTTCAAAGTGGTGGCACTGCTTGGGAGAGGATTTTCATGATGAAAGCTAATGAAAATTGTACTTGTTGTACTTGCTATTTATTTTTGTCATTCTTCCAGAAACATAAAACTGTATTTATTCTATTATCTTATTTTCAACAACTATGAGTCTTATTCACAGGAGCCCAGGAATTAGATGATTTTAGTCGATTGGCCAGTTTTGAATTTTGGGTTTTATTTTGTTCTTCTTATGAATGGAGTTAAAATCAATGCAAACTGCATGAATTTTGAAGTCAGAGTAAATTGGATTTGAAACCCTGTTAAATTACCTGACAATTAACATAATTTTATAAGTCATAATCTTTAAAGGCTGTAATGCCAAAGTGGTTGACAACTTGTTGAGAACTAACTATAAAATGTGTGATGTACCAAGAGAAGATCCTATGCTTCTTACCACATTCAGGAAGGTTGCAGCACTATCTCAATATTTCGAATAAAAGAACAGTCTTCTAAGTCATTATTTCTTCAGAAGATCACGTGATGAAAGGTGGACTTAAATCTAGATCAATCTGATTCTATAGTCCATACTTTTACCTATTACAAGATACTGATGGCAATTAGAAAGGAGAAGGATGTAAGTCGAAGTCAAGTTCTTCTGACCCTCCATAAAGAAACCAGCATTTGAGCTGTTGAACCTGAACAGAGACAAAGCAATGCTGGAGAATTCGCCTTAACACCAGAGGCTGGCCAGCAGCAGCTGGGCCACAAGTCATTCAGTGGCTCTGGCTTTTGTTTTCACTATTGACTCCTACTCCCCTTCCCACGTTGTAGTTCCAGGAGATGGACCTCCACTGTGGTGATATTTTATTTTGCTTTAATAAATAAAGCTTGCCTGGATATCAGAGGAATAGGAACAGCCATTTATAAGTAAACACAAAAGTCATGAAATGTTATCACATGCCTTTAAATCTTATCACTTGACAGGGAGGACAGAGCCAGGTGTGGTGGCACATGCCTTAAATTCCAACACTAGTTAACCATGGAGGTCTGGGTACACACAGACAGGAAGTGACAGAGCTGGGCAGGAAGAGGAAGTGAGGTAGCTGGGTTAAGAGAGGCAATGAGAGGGCAGAACAAGGCATATAGGCGTGAGTAGACAGGAACTCACATTTGGAAGCTGCCAAGTTGGTGAGGTTAGCTGTGGCTTTCCCTGTTTCCTTGATCTCTCTCAGGCTTTCACCCCTATATCTGGCTCTGTGCTTTTTTAATTTAATAAGACCATTTAGAAATTCATCTACACTCCACAGTGAGACAAAGCCTGGCCATATTCATTTAACATGCCCAATATTTATTTATCAGCTTCTTTCCAACATGGTACTTATTAAATGGAAAACGATGTTCCTACAGGGTTTATATGGCAGGTCCAGTTTTTCCTACACATATAAAATTGTTTATTTCTTATTACTGTGCACTTTTTGTTCCCACCTACATTTTCTAGATGAGGAAACCAATGCTTAAATTAAAAGCTAAATATGTACACAAGTTCATTCTGCAAGTTTCAGAGCCATGGTTTTTACATATTTTGTGAGGTTTAATTATGTATTTCTAAAAAACTTACTTTTAAGATAACTGAAATAGTTTCAGCTATCTAGTGAGGTATGCCATTCTAGACACTTAGAAAAGCAACAGGTGGTTTCATCCACACAATGATGCACTTGGGCCAAAACTGTATGTCTGTTAGAACTAATAAAAATAAAAGATGTCTAAACACAATTATGATAATTATTGAAGCTTACTTGATGTTTATATAAGGCATTATAATATAAAAAGAAGGATGATGTTCCTGGGGGGAACCTTGTATAATAGTTGTTTTGTTAAATAATAGATAGGAATGAAACACTTACATTAAGTTTCAGAGAAATTAATGAAAGAGGAGGCAGAAAGATTGTAAGAGCCAGAGGACCAGGACACATTGCCAGACACTGTTCCAAACATGACAAGGAAGTTGCAATATGACATCTCAACAATATGGTTGCTTAAACTAGACCTGAATAATGACAACACCAGTTGACAAGACAATGTGGACAGGGGGCATTTTACAAGGTCCCATGACTAGATGAAGAGCTATAGTAAATCAAGGGCTGCTGAGAGAGGAAGAATAAACTTTATTCAGGGATGACCCCTTGTACAGTTTATCTAATCCAAAGACATCAATCCTAAACAATATACATATAAACTATGTTAAATGGAGTCTTTAGGAATATACATATGTAGATCTAAAATATTTATATATATATATGTATGAAATCTTGAATTTGAGTGGGAGCCAGGGAAGGACACTAGAGAAGTTGGAAGAGGGAGAAGCATGGGTATAAGTGATATAAATATAATACTCATATATGAAATTCTGAATAAATAAATACAAAATAATAGGTAGATAAGGTTATAATATGTGTACAAAATAATAGGTAGATAAGGTTATAATATGTGTGCCTTTTCTTGTCTCTTAATTAAATCATATGCAAGTAAATGCATGGCTACAGATCAAATAGAAGAATGATTAATTCCATTTTACAAAACCATACAAGATTTTAAAAGATCCAGTCAAGTCACCATCATGAGTTAAACCATCCTGTCCTCTCTATGAGGTTGGGAGACGTACTACTCCTGATCTTGGTTCTCAGTATTGTGACTCACTGATTCTACTCATCTCTTCAGCCTTAACTCTGGACCATTATCACCATTCATCATACTTCAATAGCCCTTATTTTTTCAGCTTCTGGGTTTCTTGTCGCAGGACTATTGTGTGTACTCTTCTTTGTTCTACCAGTGCTCCTCCTTCTAGCTCCTCCTAAGAGTGCCTCTTTCACAAGGCTGAGAGCTCAGCTTGAATATGATCTTTGAGAGTCCTTCCAGCACATCCCCAACAGCTCCTCAGCACCTACCGCATCACTCTCCTTGAATTCTTTTCTACTTCTTAGAATTTATAACTGTTTGAATGATTGATTTACTTCTTTCTGGTCCCCACCTCCTACTTGAGTGTAATTACTTGAGGACAGTCATCAACAGTATACTAGATCACAGCAGACTTGCTGGAACATGGTGTGAAGTCAATCAAAGTTTGTTGGCTCCAGAGTGAACAAGTAAGAATAAATGGACTAGGCATATTTATTATAACTATTTCTTTCAAGTCATTTAGGAGAGTCTCATGCTGCATAGTGTTTATTAACAAACTGAAATTTTCTTCAGGCTCTTTTGACTTAAAAGTCTAAGAACTGCTACTAAAAATTAATGAAAGGAAAAACCTACAGGCTCTTACTTCAACTACACAACAAGCTCTAAACACAGAGGTACTTGGGAAAGAGAAGCAAAACAAGCAACAGGGAACTATAAGTATAAACAATGAAATCTGGAATAGCTCCTGTCAAAGAATCCAGTTACCATTCATCATTAACATAACAGTGTCCGACATCCCCTGTGAAGACAATTCAGTAGGAGCCAAACTATAGAATATATCTTTATGAAGGAGAGCCTGTATTTTATATAAAGGCAAATCTCTATTCAAAAGTGTAGGAATAGTCACCCACACATCAGCAGTACCAACTAGATCTACAATTAATAATAATAATTACAATATATTGATAATAATTTATAAATAGATAATATAATAAGCTATTAATAAATAACAAAATGTTATTGTTATTATTATTAGAAATAATCTGATATTGATTCCTCACAAGAATATTATGGTTCC